TAATTAAACATTTTTAATAAATTGTTTTACATTGCTTTACAGTTGTTGTACAATACATGGTATTTCAATTGAATTCTAGATTAATGCAAGTTAGAGTTACGATTGTTAATAAATCACTTTCTTGTCAATAAATCTAAACTTTTTTTAAGTAATTGAACAGTTTTGTCTTCATCATATTGCTGTTAAAGCTGTTTTGTTTGTACTGTGGCTAAGAAAATCTCTTAACCATGGTAAAATCACTGTATGGCTTCTTGTAACTAATTGCTTTTTTACAACTGCTTTATAGCTCATCCAGGAATTATAATACCTCTTTTCGCCTCTTTATGAAAGTGATTTTAAGGTTTATAATAGTTATTTGTTTTTTTAATTCTTTGTTTACAAGTGTTAATCCTGTTTTCCTGTGTCTGACCCAACCGCACACAGTGGTTGAAGGAGAAAAAGGTGAATGTCCTTGCATGGCCTCGTCAGAGTCCAGACTTAAACCCCACTGAAAATCTGGAATGACTTGATGACTGCAGTCCACAAACGCTCTTCATCTGCAAAGTTAGTAGAGACATATCCCAACAGACTAAAGGCTGTAACTAAAGCAAAAGGTGGTTCAACAAAATACAAACACAAAATGACACAAGGGGTGATCCTTTTTCCGACTTGGTGATTCTGTTTTTTAATTTTTTAATTTTTTCCTGACATGTTGGTGTTATATCTATCTTTCCATACTTGGGTCCTCGCTGGTCTCCTCAAATACCTCGCAGAGACCTCGGCAACTCCATAAAACACAGGTAAGTTTTGTGCAGATATGAATGTGTGGTAGTGGTTACAAAATGTCAAGCCAATTAACTTGTGTGGTTGTGCAACCCCAGTCATGCCTTCTCACATCTGATGACTTGATTACCCCAAATACCACCGATCCCAAGTCAAACAAAGAACACTTAGACCACGAAACACGATGCTTTTGTGATCAAAGTTATAAGGGTTTCAATGAGAGCTCACAGTAGCTTAGCCATCAAAACATATGCAAAGTTCACACTATTTCTCATTTTCCTGGTACTTTAGACGTGGAAATCAATGTCTATTTGTCATCATAGATAGACAACTGCCAGTTTCAAAATGCAATCAGATAAACAGATCCAAAAAATTGAAACGCTCATATCAACTTTAAACTGGCTACAGTGATGTGAGCTGCGTGCTAAAGCCAGCCTCCTCTTTCATGAGACAGTATAGCTTCAATCTAATGAAGACACTTTAACACTGTCAGAGCCCATTAGTCATGTTCTATTAACTGTCAGCTTCTGTTAATATCAGATAAATAGATTGGCAAATGCACAGTGACCCTTCAGAGGAACTCTATTCCAGGAGATTTGAATGGCCCTTTTATTGTGGAGAATGCAAATGTGACTACATGCAAACAAAAAGAGATAGAGATAGAAGAAATGAAGAATAAAGAGAGCACCTTCCATGCAATTCTGCTGAACAATCGCCAATGCATCCGTACAGCCTTTGTCCTCTTGTGTATTTGTCAAGTGCGAAAGCACAGTCGAATGCAAAGGAGATATTTAAAGATCCTCGGTTACAATTAAATTACTCTAAATTGAGAATTACTGCCAAAGTGCCTATCTTTGGGCATACGCTGCACATATCTGTCTCTCGATGAAAAGGTTACTTGGCAAACGTGATCGCTGTTGTGACACATTCGCTCTTTCATCTGAAGAGTTTAGGAGTGGTTGTCAAAAGGTCAGAACCATCTGCTGATAGTTTGACAGCGAAGCAAAACAAACCCATATGGCCTCATGCATTTTAAAAATGGATAAAATAAGAGTTTTTTTCTTGGAAAATGTCTCAAAAAAGGCTCAGTAATGAATCATGGCACTTATTTGTGCTTGTACAGGTTTTCCACGAAGTATTGGATGTCACAGACATGTATCGTGTGCGGGAAAGGAATGCTGTTTGGCTTAAAATGCAAACACTGCAAGTAAGTGCTAAAATGTTTGTATGGGAGCCCATTTCCCCAACATAAGAATATAAACCATGTTTCTGTAAATCATGCAAGTGCTAAAACTTTAGTATGGAATCCCATGTCTGCCACATAAGAAAACAAACCATGCTTTTATAACTCATAAGTATGACATGAAAAGTCGAAATTATGAGATAAAAAGTTTAAATTATAATATAAAACAATGATAACAAAAAGCTGAAATATTACAAAAACAGTTATGACAAAAGTTTAAATAATTATGTAGTCATAATTATGAGATAAAAAGTTGAAATTATAAGATACTAAGTCATAATTACGAGATAAAAAGTTTAAATTATGACAAACAATTATGACAAAAGGTTGAAATGATTATGTAGTCATAATTATGAGATCAAATGTTGAAAGTAAAAGATTCTAAGTCATAATTGTGAAATAAAAAGTTGGAATTATAATTTAAAACAATTATAACAAAAAGTTGAAATTATGACAAAAACAGTTTTGACAAAAGTTTATATAATTATGTAGTCATAATTATGAGATAAAGAGTTGAAATTAAAAGATACTAAGTCATAATTATGAGATAAAAAGTTAAAAAATATAAAATAGTTATAACAAAAAGTTTAAATTATGACCAAAACAGTAATTGTGTACTAATAATTAGCAGTCGTGGCCTAATGGTTAGAGAGTCGGACTTGTAACCCGAACGTAGTGGGTTCGAGTCTCAGGTCTGGCAGGAATTGTTGGTGGGGGGAGTGAATAACCAGCGCTCTCTTCCACCATCAAAACTGTGTGTGTGTGCACTTGGATGGGTTAAATGCAGAGCACAAATTCCGAGTATGGATCACCATACTTGGCCACACATCACTTCACTCACTCACTCACTCACTCATTGAGATAAAACATTGAAATTATAAGCTACTAAGTCATAATTATGAGCTAAAAAGATTTAAATGATATGATGCTAAGTCATAATTATGAGATAAAGTTGAAATGATGACACAAATGCCCAAATTATTAGATAAAAGTCATGATTATGACATAAAAGGTCAAAATAATGATATACCAAGTTATAATAATATAAAAAGTTTAAATTGACAAAATGTTTACATTATGATATCAATTATGACAAGAAGTCAAATGATTAGAACAAAAAACAAAAAAATAAAAGTCGAAATTATGACATGAAAAGTCTAAATTACTGCATGAGATAAGTAATAATTATGACAAAATTACTTTTAATACATGATTAAATAATACATAAAATAATAGACCCTTTTTGCAAGACTGTGATGACGCGTTTCAACGGTCATCAGCATTGTAAATCTACAAAAAAGATCTAGAATCTAGAAACAGTGTTTCTAATGCAGCGTCTATGGGAGTGACAGTAAATTTGACATCGTTCTCTCTACTGACTGCCGTTATCAGTCTCTCTCTATTTTTTCCTTTTTTTTGAAAGTCATGAAAACACTATCATGGAGTGTTTCTTTTGCTATTTGAGCAAATGGGAATGCAAAAAATATATATTTGTGGTAGTCTCCCATTCACTGCTATAGAAGTTTACTTCTGCTGCTGAGAAACCCAGAAATGTGAAAAAGGTCCATACATAATATATATGAAAACAACTTTTAGCAATCCCTAGCAGTCGTTGTGTTGAGTTTTGCATCAGCGAACACCACGTTTACGTTTACATTTACATTTACATTTACGGTTAAGTTTCCTTAAAGCTCAAAAGATCATAAAAAATTAAGTTATTTTTGTAATTCTGTCTGATGCTGAAATTACAGACTGAATCACAGCATGTAGAATGTTAAATATGCACTCCATAATCTATTATAATTTCTTTAACCATCTCTTTCAAGAACTCAAATCTCTGAAAATGAAAATTCCTAACATTTCAGCTTTGTAACGATGTGATTTGATGTTTTTGTTTGCATCACAGCCTCTTTAGAATTCAGTGCTAGAGACTTTGTGCCTGCAGTAGTGTCTGAACATTCAAATTGAGCATAATTATCATTATCATTAAAAGATTATTTGAATAAATTACCTGCCTAATAGTTTCCACTCTACCACCCTTGACTATGGCATCTTGTTACTAAGATACGTGCTGGCTTTTGACACCCTCAAAATAATGGCTGCATATTAAGTGCTTGTTTTGAATATTCATTGATTTGCTTTTACAAGAGCAAACTAATAAACATTTCTGTCATGCTTTCATTTGTCAGATTGAAGTGCCACAACAAATGCACCAAAGAAGCTCCACCCTGTCATTTACTCATATACCACAGAGGAGGTAGGGACTCATCCAGAGGTATTTCAACTTTTATGTTTTCTTTCTTTCTTTCTTTCTTTCTTTCTTTCTTTCTTTCTTTCTAACTCCATAAATGCTTAAAACAAAAACTACTACTCAAGGCAGGCCATTAATTATGGTTCAAATATGATTTCAGAAACAGCAATATTCTTATACACAGCATGTGTTCAACCTCATAATTGCTTTATTTTCAACTGACCATATTTAATTACAGGTTTTTTGAAAATTGGTTTCCAAATAAGAGAATGTGTTTAAAGGGAATGCAGAATGTATTTTTAAAAGAATGTCACATCTACTTTGCATTAATGTACTAAACAATTTGTCTGGTTCTCTGTTAAACATTATAACCTTCAGTCTGCATGCATCTTACCTTACCTTTCCTCTCTTTTTCTTTTTTCACCACCTCATTTTCCCCTCATTTCTGATATTGCAGATCAAGTAACATCTCAAGGTAATGTGCTCATCAAACACATTATTTCCTATTTCATACCTTAAATTTTGTGCTGGACAGTTTTCAAATGTCTCATGAAAATGTATGTACAATACCGTTCAAAAGGGGTCGGTAAGATTTTTTTTATGTTTTTGTAAGAAGTCTCTTCTGCTCACCAAGGCTGCATTTATGTGAGTAAAACTACAGTAAATAAACAGTAATATTGTGAAATGGTATTAGAGTTTAAAATAACGGTTTTCTGTTTTAATATATTTAAAAAATATAATTTATTCCTGTGATGCAAAGCTGAATTTTCAGCATCATTACTCCAGTCTTCAGTGTCACATGATCCATCAGAAATCATTCTAATATGCTGATCATATGCAGCTAAACAAATATTTCTTATTATTAATGTTGAAAACAGTTGTGCTTGATATTTTAATTTTTGGAAACCATGATACTTTTTTTTTTTTATACAACTTTTTATTTGCAATAGAAATCTTTTGTAACATTGTAAATGTCTCTTTTGAACAATTGTATGTGTCCTAGCTGAATAAAAGTATTAATTTCTTTTCAAAAATCTTACTGAACCCAATCTTTTGAGCTTTAGTGTATTACAAAAATTAATATAAGATAGGAAAAATGTCAAGCCAATTTTGTTAGGCTGATTTAATGTGAAGCACTTTCAGAATTGGTCTGTTAGGAAATTCTACTAACTTTAGGTGTTTACAATTAGATGAATTGAGTTGTGATAAATTACTAGCTCCAAACTGAATTTAATGTGTCTTATTTTCATGCTTAAATTTAATGGTTCCTTAATACAGCTCATGAAAAATGGGGGCAAAAACAAAAGTGTTGCGTTTATAATTTTGTTCAGTGTATATGCTGTTATGCATATGAAATACACAAAAATGTGTTTTTCTTTGCTGGAGGAAGTGAACAATGTTATTTTACACTCCCTGGTCGTTGCTGTTGGATTTCCATGTGTGTCATACCTGTGATATTTCTGATATATACTGTACATAATACATGGTTTAGTGGCTCTTCCATTAAAATGTGACAAGACTTTTCAGAGTTTTTCTGTTACCGTGACAACTGCCTCCTGTTACCGTGGATACTATGCTGTTTCTCTCGCCCTCTCTCTCAGCTCGTCAGCTCGTCAGGACCGAGTCGGTACCATGTGACATAAACAACCCCCTCAGGTACTCCGACCTGCACATTAGCCAGACTCTCCCCAAGACCAACAAAATCAACAAGGTAAGATTAGTTACTTTCCATTACGTTTGAACAAATACAACTCAACCATGTTACATCCCTCCACTGTCAACATTATCACAAAACTTTCTCAGGCAGATTGGAATTATAAGCCCATCCTGTAATCTTTAGAACAACTTGTTTGCTTTAGCTTTTTATTCAAACAACTTGGCATGAAAAGCAATTTTTGCAGACCAACATCAGCCTTCCTGTCATTTTTGGCACACTTGGTTTTCTTATGTTTATTGGAAACCAAGGCACGACAAGATGAGTGTGACATTTTTAACACACCATGTCAAGTCTACTTTTAAAAACGTGTCTGGGGATCCTTGCATTCAATTCCATTCTATTGCGCTCCATCTAGCTATTTTAAAATGCAACGTTCTGTGTATGTGTGTGTGTGCTCGCTTCCTGACAGCATAAACATTTCTTGAACTTGTGTGAAGGGAACTGACTTCATACATCCACTAAAAATCACCTTCAGACCAGTTGGTTATTTGTAACTGCAAAAGTGTAATAGGGCCATACAAGCCGTACAAGCCATAATTCATTCTGGCGCTCTCACACTTATATTCTCCTTTCACATTCATACATTTTTGCTCTCATAGTCACAAATTTTAACACATTTTAACACATTCTTACATTTTCCTCATATATTCATATATTTTATGCACACGTTTATACATTTTGCTCTTATGCAAAGTATACTTTTAAAGTTATAAATAATAAATGTATTTAAGAAGAAAATATGTGTATGTAAGAGAAGGATGTATGTATGTGTGAGAGAGTATAGTGGAAACGGAATAAAAAAGTTCATAACCTTACCATCTGACATTAGAGCTTTAAAACTCATGAACTAATTGTTATTCTTCCACTCTTAATTTTTAAACAGATGCATTTGGTTTTATATTGCGTTGTATTTTATAACTTTTGTTTTTCCCAAAGACTCAATTTGTGACACTTAAGCAACAAAAATAGCAATCAAAAAGCCTTTTAATGACTGGCAGAGCATAGAGCAAAAATTTTTTTTTTGGGATTTCTGTTGTCTTATCAAATATATATGCCTCTCAATCATACTTTATGACAACACTGCTGGCTATTGATGTTCTCCTCTTTCTAACACGACGTTGGGCAGTTTTTCAAACGTAGCACGGCTGTCCAGTTGTCAGCCCATGGGAGATCAGGTCGACAGCTGCCACACCTCTGTTTTATGATTAATCTTTAACCGACCGTGAGAATGAAGCCGGGCTTGCTGATGTCTGACCGCGCCGAGAATGAGCAAGGAGTAGGGAGTGTTTTTGTGTGTTACAAAAAGTCTGTGTGTCTCTGTTTCAGGACCATATCCCTGTGCCGTATCAGCCCGACTCCAGCAGTAACCCCTCCTCCACCACCTCCTCCACCCCATCATCTCCTGCTCCCCCTCTGCCGCCCAGTGCGACGCCCCCATCTCCTCTGCACCCTTCCCCGCAAAGCGCCAGACAGCAGAAACAGTCCAACCTTACAGGTACCAACCCCAAACATAAGCTGATTTAAGGATTAATTTTGATCATTTCCACTAAATTTCAAATAATAATTTCTTAATCCTCAAGGATTTTCTTTTTGCCGAAAATGCTAGTTAATGTTATCGCATTGGACTAAAACCTACTGACTTTGCTCACACAAGGTATCGTCACACACACACACACACACACACACACACACACACACACACACACACACATTTTTTACACCTTGCTACACAATTTGCTTATAAATGTATTGTTATTCTGTATTATTACCAAATATTGGATTCAATCCTTTTATCAACTTATTTTCTTGCTCATAGCACCGGTTTTGTATTTCTTTTTGGAACTGACTGATCATAGGCTTCAGCGATCTGAGCTTATACACCTCAGTTTTGAATGAATTTGGCCAAAATGATCCAAAAACAATGCGTTTTTCACTTCAAGGGTGCATAAGCTCAGATCAATGAGGGCTACGTTCAATCCAAAAAAAAAAAAAATTGGCTCTCCAAAGCCTATGATAATTGAAAGAAAACAACATGACAAAAACATTGAATCCAAGATTTGGTGATAATATGCTGTAGCATAATGAGAGATATACAAGTAATTTTTAAAGTGCCCCAATTATGCCATTTTTAAGGTTCCTAATATTGTTTTGGGAGTCTCCTACAATAGGATTACATGCATGCAAGGTCAAAAAACACTTTCTCAAAATATGCATTTAATGTCACTTCATTTTTCAACGATTCTCAAACAATTCGTTCCAAGTAGTTCTAGTCTCTCTAAAACCCTCCTTTCCCTGAGCCTACTCTGCTCTGATTGGTCAGATGGCCCAGTCTGTTGTGATTGGTCTATTGCGTACAGCGCGTGTCAGAAACGATACACCCATTTCCATAGTTCTGTATTTTGAACACTCGATAGAAAATATAAACATCTGTTATTTATCATACTTGCAGGTTGTGATTCAGTGGAGCCAGCTAATCCAAATCCCGGAGATTAGAGAAGTAATCGTCAGTAATATGTCGTGTTTGTCTTTACAACTTTGCAGATCATTTACATTCACAACTACTTTACACACTGCATGAAAGGCAATATTGGAAATGGCATAATAGGGGCACTTTAAGGCCGTCATTTTTAGCATTTGTCATTTTCAACACAGCGTAAGGGTTTAATGCAAAGCTTATGTTTAGCATTTTTGTATGTTAATAAAACAAAAATTTAATTATAAACTATATCAATGCATAACAATTTTAGTGGATTTTAGACTCTCTTAGTATATGGCTGAGCTCCAGACCAAAAAATGATGGAAATGATGATTTGTATAAAGATGAGGATGATTTTAATCATATAAGGATTTTTGTATAGAGTATAAATTGTTCTCTCTAATAATCCTTATTTGTGCCATATAAATATCAATCTATTTTGTTAGAATATTTCTGCCTTTTTAAAAAAAAAAAAATAGAACTAGAACTAGAACTAGAATAAAAAAATACTCTTTCTATGACCTTTCTATGATTTCTATTAATACAGTACATTGATGTATTATATCAGTTTTAATGAGTTAGTTAGCATAATCTACATTGCTGTGAGAAAGGCGTGTAGACATACTGTGAAAACCATCATCATGTCACTACAGGCACAGTTGAGCACAGGTAGCAATTGTACCACGCTGAACCATGTTAGTTGTAAACTCAGGAATGGCTCTAAATGATTCACTTACTCAGTGAGTCTGATTCAGACTGCTAACTTGCAGGGTTTTTGAATCTTTTTGACTGACTCATTAATAAAAAGCAGTTCAAAAGGGTGATTATTTTTTTACACAGATCGGACATCACTGCCCGTGCTGTGTTTGTTGTTGTGTTCCGTGCAGAAAACACTAATGCGCAGTTTAAAGGTGGGGTAAGTGATTTTTCAAAAACGCTTTAGAAAACTGATTCGGGCCGAATAGCAAAACAAACTTGTAGCCAATCAGCAGTAAGGGGCGTGTCTACTCATGATGTGGAGGACAGAGAGTTCAGTGCACAGGACGGACATTAGCCGAGACGAGCGACAGAAAGATAGAGATGGCGGATAAAAAACAAAAGAGGAAAACGTCTGCGGAACAAACGAAGACTTAAGGCAAGAAGTAGGACCCGTGTAAATATCGAATCAGCTTTCCAGCGCTGGAGAGAACTCAAGGAGCGGAAGGCCTGCGATCAGATGCCGAGGTTGCTTTGTTTCTTCTTGATAGGTGAGTAACACCGTGTCTGCGCCGCAACAGCTAAAGTCTGTCTAGTACACTGGACGCGACAAAGCCACAGTTGAAAATCATTTGAAATTTGTGTCAATACGTCATAAATAGAACGCAGCAGCAGTTTTCTGTCGGGGATTTGTCGTGTCGTGTCGTGTCGTGCCGCATCCAGTGTAGACCATAGATATGTATATATATCTATGGTGTAGACAGCATCACTTATTATAATGAGTTCTATAGTATTTTGTCACTCGCGTCCGATGTAACATTGGTTTTGCTTTGTTTCACAGAGCTAATCGTTGCCTGGGTTGCGTATGTATGTGTGGGGCAGAGCTATCAAAATAGGGGCAAGACCCTTTTGAGGTAGGGGCGTGTTTGTTTTGGTGATTTCAAATGTCAACATTGGCTACCAGAAATCGCTTACCCCACCTTTAATCAGATGATATCTGACTGAACCGTTTATATTGACACACACACAAACTTTAAATCGTTGCACTTGATGTTTTTTTTTTCTGGTGCATTTGCAATCAGTTAAATCATAGTCTGGAGTTCTATTTGGAATGTCCCGCTTTTCAATTATGACAGCACATAATATAAGCAGAAGTCAAACTGACATGAACTCCTCAAGTTTGTGAAGAACTTTTGTAAACGTTTGTGAACATCCTCTGCCAGAGTTCACATGACATCCTAAATTTGATTAGTGATGGCAGTGCAGAAATAAAAATATTTGAATATTTAAATATTAAATATTTTAAATCAACATTTCTTTGTACTTTTTCAAAATAACATTGTATTTATTTCTGTCGATTTTATTTATTTATTAGACATTGAATCTCAGATTTTCAGTGTGGTTTCAGACTTTTGGACCATTCTGTATCCTAAAAGTTGCTATTTTTTATGGCAAATGCATCTTTGTGATGGATTCTGCAGAATAATAACACAGACCAATAAGCATCTGGGGGTGTATTGAATTTTATTGAATTCTGTCTGCTTCTCTCCTGTGCTCTTCTCAGCATCTAATTTCTACAAATCCAAGCAGCAGTTCATCTTCCCTGGTAAGTGTGTCATAATTGGTCATTACCCCTACCCATAATGCAGCGCGACATGCCGAGGCAAACTTTTTTGATGTCATTTTTTTATGCCATCTTTTCTTTGAGACGCAACAAACCCCCTCCCTCTCCCTCTGTCTTTCTTTGCTCTTCTTCTTGTCATCTCTTAACCAGCAATGCTGTATTCTCTAATGATAGTTCTTTTAAAGGCGAGGTCGCCTGTGCCTCGCTGACAAATAAGGGCTGATGAGTGCCTGTATTCTGTGGGAGGCACTCAGCTCGCTGCATGTTTTTGATGAACGTGCGGAGGGAGGAAAGCCATGTTGTGTTGGTAGCCTGATAGTGTAGAATAAAGGCTACTGACTCCAAGTTTTGGCAGTTTATATATTAGAGGTGAGCTGCTGAGATCAGTCACCATTGTACCTTTCAGCAGGGAACACACAGCCAGTTTTATCCATTAGGCAAAACCATTCATTTGTTTTTCAATAGAAAGTGTTTGTTAAATGAGAATCCTCTAGGGCAGGGGTGCCCAACCCTGTTCCTGGAGATCTACCTTCCTGCAGAATTCAGCTCCAACCCTGATCAAACACAACTGAACCAACTAATTAGGATCTGAAGGAGCCATTGATAATTACAGACAGGTGTGTTTGATCAGGGTTGGAACTGAACTCTGCAGGAAGGTAGATCTCCAGGAACAGTTGGGCATACCTGCTCTAGGGTTTCATCTTTCCTAACAATAGAGCATCATATATTTTTTTATATTATATTTTTCAGCATCATTACTCCAGTCTTCAGTGTCACATGATCCTTCAGAAATCATTCTAATATGCTGATTTGGCACTCAAGTAACATTTCTTATTATCAATGGCTGAAAACCATTGTGCTGCCTAATATTTTTGGGGCAATGGTGATTTTTTTTTTCAGGAACAGCATTTATTTGAAATATAAACATTAAAAATGTATTTTCTGTCACTTTGATCAATTTAATGCATCCTTGGTGAATAAAATGTTCAGATATTTGTTTGTGCAGTAGGCACATGTTAAAAAAATGATTTTTTAAACGTTTTTAATTATAGTTATAGTTTAATTATATTTAAGTTTTATTTTTTTAAGATTTTTTTTAAGAATGACATTTGTTTGAAAATTTGTTTTACAAAAAAAAAAAAAATTTTCCGAGTAAAAATTGTTTCTACATCAGTCTTTTTCAGTGTAAGCAGCTTCTGTTTCTCAGCAGTACTCCTGCATGTTTTGATGAACTTAGTCTATAAAAATACACTCTTTTACAAATTGTCATTTTCTCTCTCATTTCTGTCTTGTGACTTATTGTCTTACTCATTCTCTTTGTAGATGTGGCCCCTGAGGTTCCCACCAGGGCCCCTCAAGTCATTCTACACCCTGTTCTGTCTGAGCCTGGGTAAGTGCGTGCGTGTTTATATGTGTATGTGACTTTATGTTGATTTGACATTTTAGGATTAATTTAAACATGATGACATCAGTCTGTCTATGTAGAGCATTCCAAATCAGTATTAGGTTGTAAAACCGCAAAACAGCTCACTGGGATTTGGAACTAAAGTGCAAATGCATGTAAATCAATGGTGATGAATTATCTCTGTAACACTTTAAAATAAGGTTCCATTATCTAACAATAAGCAATAAATTTTTTACAGTATTATTAATCTTTAGTTAATACAATACATTTTTTAAATGCAATGTTAGTAGCATAAAATGTAGTTATGATTCTCTCTTGCTCCTTTAGATGGAGGTCAAATACTGTCAAATGTGCAATTATTTCTTTTGTGTCACTTATAATGAGATGCCAAGACCATTTAACATTGTTTATTAATATACAAATGTGTCTGAAATGTCATGTTCTGTCCTGTACTATGTGTGTTTGTGTATGTATTTAGAGCGATGCCCAGTGAAAGGCCACAGACATGTCAGACAGTTTCGCCATGGCTTGTGTCTATTTATGGCAGATATGAGCATTTTAGATTACAGAATTATTAGAGCAAAAATATTCGTGGTGCAAAAGCTGATGTGACTGAAGACAAGTCACACACACATACATACACACATACACACACACACACACACACACACACACACACACACACACACACACACATAAACTTTAGCCAAACAGAGAGTGGGGCTTGAGTTTACGCTACAGTGATGATGTCAGTCATATCCATGGATGTTTTAAAAAACTCGAAGACCCATAAAAAATAATGCTATATTTAATTAACTGAATCAAGATGCATTAACTACAAAGACAAACTGGATTTCAGTTTCTGTAGTTCTTTGACAGTAGTATGTTTTTCATTATGGAGTATCGTAATGCAGCTGAAATGAGATGTTTGACAGCTGTAGAGTAAAATTGTTAACAGGCATGCATGCATAAATGGACTGATAGATCTTCCGGCACGGTCTTATTTTTCATATTTTTCAACCCAAACAAGGGTCAGAACATATTAACAAACACATTTCTTACCACAGACATGTAACAGAGTGTCATCCAGGTTGAATTTTATTTCATTTTATACTAAAAGTGTTAATAGAAAATAGATTTGTCTTAATTAAAAGTGGATTATTTTTCATAATGTATATCTTTATATATAGACAGCTTAGCAATGTGTGAGGTTACATTACATTTAGGATGTTAAATGTAGGCAGCTCACTAAGCAGAGCTTGTGCAAACAGCTTTTGTACAAGCTAAAAATATGAAGATGAACAAGCAGAATTTTTTATGTGATCCTTTCAGATGGCATAAAGTAAACAATGGATTTGAATTAGATTATAGGTCTTTGAAAATGAAACACTGGTTCGTTCTGCTGAGGTAAATGACCCTCCCTGAGCAAACACACTTTCTGTTTCTCTTCACACAGTACCAAAGTGAGTCCCTTGCTACAAATTGAGGTTGAACCAACATCTGATGTGAGTCATCCTGCTTCTATAGCAAATGTCTGTCTATCTATCTATCTATCTATCTATCTATCTATCTATCTATCTATCTATCTATCTATCTATCTATCGTTCCATGGTTCCATGGTTATCTATCTATCTATCGTTCTATCTATCTATCATTCTTTCAATCGATCTATCGTTCTAGCCATCATTATATCTTTTGTTCTATCATTCTATCATTTGTTCTATCGTTCCATGGTTCCATTGCTCTACCATTCTTTCATTCTATCTATCTGTCTATCTGTCATTCTCTGTCTGACATCAGTTCTATCTATCTATCTATCTATCTATCTATCTATCTATCTATCTATCTATCTATCTATCTATCTATCGTTCCATGGTTCCATGGTTATCTATCTATCTATCGTTCTATCTATCTATCATTCTTTCAATCGATCTATCGTTCTAGCCATCATTATATCTTTTGTTCTATCATTCTATCATTTGTTCTATCGTTCCATGGTTCCATTGCTCTACCATTCTTTCATTCTATCTATCTGTCTATCTGTCATTCTCTGTCTGACATCAGTCCTATCTATCTATCTATCTATCTATCTATCTATCTATCTATCTATCTATCTATCTAACGTTCTATCGTTCTATATATCTATCGTTCTATATATCTATCGTTCTATCATTCTATCTATCTATCTATCTATCTATCTATCTATCATTTGTTCTATTATTCCATGGTTCCATGGTTATCTATCTATCGTTCTATCTATCTATCATTCTTTCAATCGATCTATCGTTCTAGCCATCATTCTATCTTTTGTTCTATCATTCTATCATTTGTTCTATAGTTCCATGGTTCCATTGCTCTACCATTCTTTCATTCTATCTATCTGTCTATCTGTCATTCTCTGTCTGACATCAGTCCTATCTATCTATCTATCTATCTATCTATCTATCTATCTATCTATCTATCTATCTATCTCTCTACCTATCGTTCTATCTATCTATCGTTCTATCTAACGTTCTATCTAACGTTCTATCTAACGTTCTATCATTCTATTTATCGTTCTATCTAACATTCTATCGTTCTATATATCTATCTATCTATCTATCTATCTATCTATCTATCTATCTATCTGTCTGTCTGTCTGTCTGTCTGTCTGTCTATCGTTCCATCCCTCTTTCGGTTTGTCGTCCCATGGTTCCATCGCTCTACCATTCTATCATTCTATTTATCTATCGTTCCATCATTCTATCTATCATTCTGTCTGTCTCTCTGTCTATCTATCTGTTACTCTATCCATCTATACACATATGCGTCTGCCTATCATCCATCCATTCATTCATCTATCTATCTGTCTGTCTGTTGTTCTACTGTTATATTTATCATTTTACCTATCTATCTATCAGAACGAGGAAGGCAACGATGAGGCCGAGGGCTCAGCGGATGAGTTTGAGGAGATGAATCTCTCCCTCCTGTCCGCACGGAACTTCCCACGTAAGGCCAGCCAGACCAGCATCTTCCTGCAGGAGTGGGACATTCCCATGGAACAGGTGGAGATCGGAGAGCTGATCGGGAAAGGCCGCTTTGGACAGGTCTATCATGGACGCTGGCATGGAGAAGTGGCCATACGACTAATTGACATTGAAAGAGACAATGAAGAACAGCTGAAAGCATTTAAAAGAGAGGTGATGGCGTACAGGAACACGCGGCATGAAAACGTGGTCCTGTTCATGGGAGCGTGTATGAGACCCCCTCATCTGGCCATCATCACCAGGTAAGCTTGAATAGAGTTTGGTAAGTGACCACAGCTCAGTGTTTCCGGTGCATGTGTAAGCTCCACAGCTCCAGCTTCATGAATGTTTCTAAAAGTTGACTCACTTTTCTTGATCTTCTCTAATCAGCATGACCTCATAGTTTGCATTAGTGCCCTGCTTTCAGCCCAATTTAAAACGACATGTCTTTGACCACAAATGTAAACATAAGTGGCTGCAATTTTCCACTCCTCAGAAATCTCAGAAGGCATGTCTGTACTGTATATGAACGGTGAGTATTGTGAAAAAATGCACTACTTTAGCATCCTGTCTGAACAGGAGATGGCCAATATTATTTCCTTCCTCCTGCCACACAAATTGGATCTATCTATCTATCTATCTATCTATCTATCTATCTATCTATCTATCTATCTATCTATCTATCTATCAGCTGTCTGTCTCTGTCTGTCCATTTTAATATTAATAATATAACACACACAAAATATAACATTATATATTTATATAATGAATAATAATATATTAACCAATATTTAAACATAGCTCTGACTTTTTCAGTATTTTTTAAGTTAATTTCCAGTAAAAATGTAAACAAATTGTAAAATGTGCTTATTTTTTTTACCTTACTGGCAAATAGTTTTCATTTGGCAAAAAACTGGTAAACGTATAGCTATGTCTACTCCTCACTAATTATAGTGCATGATTTTGTGTATTTCTATTAACACAGACAAAAGTCATAATGGTTTTATTCATAGTCCTTAATCAGCAGGCCCAAACAAACTAATTGAGATATAGTTGCTAGAAATGACCCTCTTTCCTAAAAATAAATAAGGGAAATAAATAAATATTGAAAAAAATATTGATCGTGTCTTAGCATTGTCGTGAGTGATTATGCTTTGATTGTTTTTCATATCACCCCTGCAGTGTGGAATAAAAGTTCGGCTTTTTGCTCACAAATGCAGTGTGTACAACAATTGCAGCAGAATGTCAGAGCCTGTCATTATTTGGAATAGTCTGTCTTGACATTATTAGTGTTAACAGTTGAAACGTGATGTATGTGACACATTTCTGTACTGACGGCATATATACAGAGTTCAGCATTTGCATTTGTGCATCACGCATTTGAAGGATCCCACACTGTAGAAGGCCAAAAGGCCAGAGTGATGCTAAAAATGGGCCTCGTACCCTGATGGCATTATGAATATGTATAAATGGAGGAAGAGGGCAGCCCGGGGAAAAACGAAGACATTTTTGTCAGGTGGCACAGTAGGAGCTCAGATGTCAGGGAGTTGGAGGGGTGTCTTTCTCCTCATTCCTGCAGAGGTGAAGTTCATGGCTCACTCAGCATCATTAGTCCTCCAAGTGACAGTGCTCAAATTTGCTTGGATGTAAATTCAGAACAGCATGCTGAAGTATGAACATGCATCATTCTTGTCCTAACATATGTTATATGAAAATGTAGGTTGTAGGTATAAATGAGGGGTGATCTGTGAACTTTTAGCCTTGTGATCTAAAGCAAAGCTTTTGACCACAGGTTGCACTAGGGTAGATGCTAGGATAGATGCTCATCATATGACCTTTTATTACTCTTGTGCTTTAGGTAGTCACAACCCCTACCTTCATTTCCCATCATTCTCGGTGGCGGCACAATAAATGAAATGGTTAAAATTCATTATATTTTATTTTGACTTGTGCTGGCTTTGAGAATGATGGGAAACACAAGCCTGCCGAGTTCATAAACCAGCTAAATTAGTTGTATTTTCTGGCAGGCTTTATTGGTATTCTTCATCAACAAGCTAAATTGCACTCATCATTTTTTAATATACTGTTAAATGCATTCATAATTGCAACCTTAATTATGACCAATACCAGTTAGTACTCTTATAGACATCAATAATCAGTCTTATGATATTATTTCATTTTATTCAAATTGCCTTTACCTTTAGCGCTTCAAGTATTTTTGCCAATGAATTGTAAAAATAGTGAAATGTATATTTGATTCATATTTGAGTGAGTTGTTTTATACACTGAATCTGCATAAACCTGTAATGCTATTCTTTATTTCTGCAAAGATTGTTTTAAAAAGCCACAATCTGCACAAATAGCTGAAAAATAGCTGGATATATTTTGATGTTATGGTTGCTGCTGATGTCTAATATGTGTTTTTTGTTCTTCTGTTGTAGTTTGTGTAAGGGCATGACCCTCTACTCAGTGATTCGAGATGCAAAAGTCGTTCTCGACGTGAACAAGACTAGACAAATTGCACAAGAGATAGTGAAGGTAAGAGTAATTGATGTGAAGTCAATGTGATGAATTCGCTAAATGTCAGCTAAAATTGATTCACGTGTATAGCAGTCATTTTGGAAAACATGTCAGTGTTGTGAAGCCTTTATATCTACCTGTACATGTACTTTTCCTTCACATACACAGCATATGATTACATTTAGGGCTGCACAATTAAATGGAATAAAACAGAAATCACATGATTATTATTAAATTTAATTAAATACATGCAGAGCATGTTTCAGAGTGAAGCACAGCACTGAGTTCTTTTATAAGTGAGCAGCTCATCATTCAGTGTTTTTAGTGTTTCAGCTCAGTTCGCTGCCACACCACACAAACTCATCTCTCCATCTGCTCTGAGTTTGGGACGCTTATAGCATCCATTTGGGAACATGCACCAACCCTGAAGTTTTCTGCCAAAATAAAAGATATATGGTTTAATGTTTAAAAATGAAGAAATTCATAAATATTAGTAACTGCAACAATAACATTTACTATTTTACAACTGTACTGTAAAAAAATATTTGTATTGTTATTTTTTATATTAAATACTTGTAATATATTACAGTAGTTATATTTCTTATTTTGTTTAGTAATAGTAAAAATCATAATAAAATACTAATACTACTACTACTTCTTCTTATTATTATTATTATAGTCATATTCATGTACAGCATAATCTATTATTTTACATCAAACTCTGCAGCCCTACAAACAACACAGCAAACCTGGAACTTTTTTAAAATCACATTTTAAATCATAATTAAAGTATTTATCAGAAATTTTTCAACTAGACTTAGAATTAGAAAAGAAATTCTAGACATAAAATTAGTATTAGGCCAAAAACATGTATCCCTAATTACATTAACACCATTTTTTCAGGGCATGGGCTACCTACATGCCAAAGGGATCCTTCACAAAGATATGAAATCCAAGAATGTATTTTATGACAACGGGAAAGTGGTCATCACCGACTTTGGCCTGTTCACAATATCTGGTGTTCTACAAGCAGGCAGGTAGGTCCAAATTCACACAAACACTCCCTCCAATTTCACTCCCTGCAATTTCAATCCCTGCAATTTCAAGTAATGATATTCTTTTCTCTTTAAGTAGAAATGTTTTCAGTGTCAGCCATCGAATGAGTTTACATTTTTAAATAAAGTCTCCTAAATTATTGCTGTTGATAAGCTATAATGCTGAAGTCTAATAAACATAAAAACCTGTAGAAAACAAAATATTGGGTAAGTTTTTATGTTATATTGAACTACGATATTTGTATCAATACATTTTGTCATTGAATTAATCATTGAATTAATTTCTCATATTCATTTTCATTTTGAAATAATTTTTGTTGCTCTCAAAAGGACTGTAATGACTTGATTACTTAAATTTGTAAGGGAATTAATTATTATTAATTCATTCAGGTTTTGATAGGACTCGGATCTGAAAATCCGAAGTTCACCTGATTAAACCGATTTCAAATTTGTTATGTTACACTTTAAATCAAGGGTCGTCCAGCGAGCCGTGACCTCAGTATATTTTAACAAATTGACTATGTATTCTCCTAGTGGGGTTTTGATCTGCGGCTTAAGTCCGTCCCACGGGTCGCTGTTCCAATCAGATGGGGCTGCGGGGTTTAGCCACGCCCAATACTGTTCCTTATCATGCATGAATCCCATGCTCTCGTGTGAGGCGTATTCCTGCAAGTTTTAATAACTTCTGATAAAAGTATTATCACCAGAGAATGATACATAATATAAAATTTTCACTAACACCAATGTTCGGCGGATAAAACAAGCTTTCATTCAAGCTTAAACAACAGGTATTTTGCATACACAGTAATCGTAATTAACTACAAAGAAAAGTTATAAGGCAATGATTAAAATATCATGGTTTCAATAACACATCACACATATTTAAGACATAAAACATTATTTGTGAATATAGTGGCCCCGATACTTTCAATCATTTTCCCTGGTTGTCTTTTGAATTGTCTGTGTACGTTTTGTTTCTTTGTCTGTGACACAAGAAACGTAAGGGTTTCCGTCAGGGCAGAAAGCAGATGTTCAGTGGGTCATGTGGCCTCACGCTGCATATCCCGTGCTTCCAGGCCTGAGGACGTGATTAGATTACCGTCCCTTTTCCTGTCTTGGATATAATAGTTGCACTCAGGGTGGGTCACAAGACATCGTGGTTTCTATATGTTGTGAACGAACCTTTTCAGTCCTTGATACAAAGAAAGCTTTGTTGTTTCTTGATTGGATCAGTCCATAATCACTCCTCTGAGTAGATGATGACAAGACTGACAGGAAATCGACCCAGAATATTGGACTCATGTGCTGGGTGATTAGCAAACCTCGTGATGGCTGATATCAGTGTCCGTTCATATTTAGAAGTCCCTACAGGACACATCTGATGTTTCCTTAGATATTGGCCAAAATTAGGCAGGCAACATGATGTTGCGGCCTACCTTTTGAAAAAGCCTTCACTTCAGGAGTGCGCCTGTGATGTTGTAAAATGCTGTCTACTGCCAGAAAAAAAGTAATAATAACTGTACCTTTATGGGTACAACAGTTTTTCGCTGGAAGCAGTACCCTTAAAGGCACTACTTTGTACCCTTAAAAGGTGCATATTAGTACCTTAGAGTTGTGATACAGTATGTATCTTACAGTACTACTATGCACCTTTTAGTGGTAAATATGGTACAAAGATGTACCTTTCTCTCTGTGTCTCCAGTAGAAGAGTGACAAATGTTCAACCCATCACACTATACATGTGGCAGGCCATTAATAGTGTCCTTAAATTCCATAATGACTTTCAGAACTACTTATTAAAAACCAAAGCCTGTAATTATTAGAGTGTGGGCTACAGTGCTAAATCCAGTTTCACCTTCAGTGTTCTTATGGTTCCTGATAAATGTCTGCTTCAGTGAGTTGAAGTAGCAGCAGATGTTATCATCACACAGACGATTGACAGGACTTCAGGAACTTTTATAGGGGAAACTCCCTCTAGCAATCTAATTTCAATGCACTGCAAAAATATGAATAGATGAAAATTGTTGCTTTTGTCAACCAGTTATTCATATTTAGATAGAAAGAAGAGTTCACATACAGTGGGTATAGAAAAGAATCACCCCCCTTTAAAATAAAAAAAAAACACCTTTTGCTTCAATTACAGCCTTTAGTCTGTTGGGATATTTCTCTACTAACTTTGCACATCTAGACTTTGCAATATTTGCCCAATTTTCTTTGCAGAATTGCTTAAGTTCAGTTAAATTTGATGGTGAGCGTTTGTGGACTGCAGTCTTCAAGTCATTCCACAGATTTTCAATTCCTTCAACCACTGTGTGCTCAGTTTTGCTGTGTGCATTGGGTCATTGTCATGTTGGAAGGTAAACCTTCTTCCCATTGACAACTTTCTGGCAGAGGGCAGCAGATTTTCCTCAAGAATTTGATGGTATTTCGCCTCATCCATTTTTCCTTCTATCCTGACAAGTGCTCCAGTCCCTGCTGCAGAGAAACACCCTCATAACAGGATATGACCACCTCCATGCTTTACTGGAGGAATGCTGTTATTTGGATGGAGAGCTGTATTGGATTTTCGTCAGACATATCGTCTGGTATTGAGGCCAAATAATTCAGTCGTATCTGCCTCAGAATCTTCAAGATGCGTTTTGGCAAAGCTCAGTTGTGACTGCATGTGGCCTTTCTTGAGGAATTTGTGATATTGTTTTCACATGCACACAATGACCACTCTTTGTCATAAATTCCTGCAGCTGCTTCAGAGTTGCTGTCGGCCTATTGGTCGCTTCTCTGACCAGTTTCCTCCGGCTCTTTCATCCAGTTTGGAGCTAAATCCTGATCCAGGGAGGGTCTGTGTTGTAACAAATATCTTCCACTTCTTAATAATAGATTTCACTGTGCTTCTAGGCATTGATAAATCCTTTGAAATTACTTTGTGTGCCATTGAGAAGGTGATTAGCTACACCTGATTGAGTTTACAAGTCATTTTTAGGAGGGGGTGATCCTTTTTCAAACTCAGTGATTCTGGTTTTTATTTATTTATTTATTCTGACATGTTGGTGTTGTATCTTTCAGTTGGATGTTATAAGTTGCACTGAGCAAATACAGCTGGATAAAACAAAAACTGTGTCCTTCTTCATTTCAGGCTGCAAAGCAACAAAATGTGATTATTTTAAAGGGGGATTCTCAAGAAGAAGAGGAAGAGGGTTAATTATACAGGGTCATCTACAAGTTAATGTATCAGAATGGTAATGCATTTTATGTATTGCTCTTTACAATGTTGGACAAGTAACGGTAATTGATATCATTAGCTTTTGGCTTCACTACTTTATCAAACAGCGAGAATGTTTTGCTAATGTCAAACATACCATGTTCCCATTCACCATCTTAGAAAGCTACCATCTAAAAATTAACATCCTAACGTATAAACGCTTTACTAATGATATGAAAAGCCCTGCTCAGCAGGTTGACGTGATTGGTTACATGTTTGTGAGGGTAGGAAACAGACCGTTTCAAACCATATGTTTGAGACTGTCTTTGCAGAAGTGCAGTTTTAAGGAGAAAATGCTCAGCAATGGTGTTGACTGATGAATTTGCACGTGGTTTGTCTTTAAGCATATATTACAAATAGCAGATAGACATGTAAACAATGTTAAAAGCTTGATTTTCACCACAGGAAGTCTTTAAAAATAAAGGTTCCAAAAAGGGGTTTTCACAGTGATGAGACGATTTTTGGATTCCCAGAGAACCTTTCAGTGGACAGTTCTTTTAAAAAAAAACTTTATTTTTGTAGTGTGAAGAATATTTAAAAAATCTAAAGAAACTTTTTCCCTATAAAGACCCTTTTGTGCAATGGAAATGCTTCAGGGATGTTAAAGGTTCTTCATTGAACCATAGATGCCAATAAAGAAACTTTGTTTATTAGCGTATGGACAAAAAATAACTATGATGATTATTGTTTATCTTTATTGTTACACATTTCAGAAAGCAGCAATGCATGAAATCAAGCTTGTACAGCTAGGAGCGTTTCCGTTCACATAAGGATGAGTGAATTCTGACTGATATTTTTGGGTGAATATCCATTTAATTGACCTCACTTTTCCCTTAGGGTTACTTCATTTCAGTTTAAATCCCGAATCAATATTCAGTCTTACGAATATTCAATTAATTATGTTTTAATGCCATTTTCTCCAAGTATTTAATTCAATTCCGCCTGTATATATGATGTGGATGAGGCTTTTGGCGTAAAATGATTTGTGATTGGATGTCATAATACACAACATGAGGAAAAAGCACAAAACCTGTCTCAGATCAGTACTGAAGTATTGAACAGCTATCTTTTCTGCATATGACATCTCCTCTATTACCTTAATTGAATACCACAGTCTTTACAGATTTAGACCTCTGTCTATATATATTCCCGTCTCCTTCAAGAGACAAAGACTTAAAAGAAACCTTTCTCCGCCACACTCCTTTGAACAGGAAAATCCATGAGAAGGGTGTCTGATGTATGCGTTTTGTTGCTCTCTTGTGATGTATGAAGAGGAAACATCCTCTTCTTTATGGCCGAATGAACTCAAAGATATTCCTTCCTCCAGGCAAGACCGCTGAATTGCGTGAACAGCAGTAGACGTTTGATTTGTTTTGTAAAGCTGTGATATACTTCATATATCTCAATCATTCATCAGTTCTGAATATGTTTCTTAGGGCAAAGGGAAGGGTTATAAGAGGACATGTCCTCTTGTACAGTATATGACACTGCATTGAAAAATCAGAACAAAAAATATTATTAATTTAATTTAATACTGCAATGATGTATACACACTTTGCCATTTTTGAGTAATTTTATAATTTTTCCATTTATAATATTTTTTCCAGCATTACAGTAATGAGAATAAAGGAAATATTATACATTTGATAAATATGATGTCATGTTAATATACTTGAATTTAATACTGACATGATGTAAATACACTTTGCCATTTAATAACTACATTATTTTATAATTTTACCTTTTATAATAATTTTTTTCAGCACTATAGTAATGAGATTGAGGGAAATATGATAAATGCATATGATAAATGATAAATAAGCAAACGTTTCTTTCTTGTTTTTTTCTGAAAATGATCTTGACAAGTTTAGTTAGATTAAGCATTGTCTTAACAGTATTCAGTTCTTGCATTTGTCAATCAACAGCCCTGAAACACAATTTTAATTAAGAAATTTGACTTTATGAATTTATGTTTATTTGTGTAATAAGATGTTTAATGAAGTCTTTGGCTTTGAAAGTGCTGAAAATGAGAGTAAATTATCTTGGGCAACATGAAGCGTTTGCCACTGCTGATGACCGTGATGATGTTGATGTTGTTTTGGCACTCGTCCCGTTCGTGTTTGCATGTCGCGCCTCTTTGAAAATGTTTTCATTGGCATTGCAAGCAGTAAATCAACATCCCCGATGGAGCAATATTACAAACACTCGTACCCATCGGTTCATCTGATTATGAGGCTGATTTTGCACAAGTGTGTTTACGTATGTTGGCAGTAATTACCGGGAAAAAGACGGCGTCTCCACAGCGACAGGTTTACATTGCAGCCATTGTTGATCAAGTCTCTTGGATCGGCTCACTGTTGCCGTTCTGATCAGCCCACCTCTACACCTCCGCAGCCATGTGAATTATTATCAGGAGTTATTAGGAGGAAGGGATAGTATTTGGGAGCGGCACATTTTTTTTTCAGACCATCAGGGACGTGCAGGCTTTAACATAATTATGAATTGTTTGTCTGTAAAGCACAAGTCTGGCTCTCAATAACACGATTTTACATTAGTTATGTATTATGACTCAGGACTTGACTGGGTATTGTAATAAGATCTGATTATTCTGGGATTTGGTGCTGTTTGAAATACCACATCCATGTAAGGCAACATCATCTAGCAGGTACGAGAGGCTAGTGAGGCTGTGAACACGCTCGCACTGAAGCATCATGAAATGTCAAGGTTTGTTTATGAGGGTTTGTGTGGGTTTGAGTCTTTCTGAAAGATGAAGTCATTGGAAATTTTCTCTGGGCAGTCTGATGGGCCGCCCAGATTTCAGGCAATAGTGGTTTTAATGCTGTTGAAGCCCTAAGAGCTTTCTTTTTTTTTTCTCTCTGTCAAACAAAAGTTTGTTGTTGTTATTGTTTCTTGGTCTGAAGCAGTGTTTATTATTACTATTATTATTTTATTTTAATTAAGGGGTAATATTTGCTCCTGAGTTTGAATATTTGTTTTTAACCATATAAAACCATACCCGGTTTTTATATTTTTAAGTTGCATAGATTGATCTCATTTATTAAAATGAAATCTGACTGTGCATAATTATATAGGTTGTTGCTTATAAATTTTTTTATTTGAAAATATATTATCAAATTTAAATAGTATAAAATTCATTATAAATTAATATAATTATAATTATATTATTATTATTATAAATGATTAATATTATTATGAATGTATGTATATATAGCATGTTAAGGGAGTGAAGAAAAGAATAAAGAAATGCTTTTTGTCCCCACTATTTGGGAGGTATTTTTGTTAATTTTGATGGCATTTTTTCGTAAGCACTTTAATTTTTGACCACAGCATCATGGGTGAGTGAATTCGTTTTTACTTGGATCAGGGACTCAGTCAAGCTGAAACAGCTCTATGTTTGTCAATGATAGACCACTTTTAAATCCATGTCTGATGCTTGAGAAGGAGGCGACTACTTTATCATTGTAGAGGGTTCACAGGTTTTTAATCGGTCCGGTGGGAAACAAAGTTGTGTTTACAAGTTCCCAGACTCTGCTACATTGTGTACTTCTGAGAATAAGAAAAAAAAAACAGCTCGTAGTTTGAGTTTCTTGCCATTCAGTCTTTGAAACGTGTTGTAGAGTTTCTGTGGAACATAGTCACAAATATCAACTTTGTGTTTAAAAAAACAAACTGTCAAAAAAAACAATAAGAGTATAGATCTACAAAAAATGATGGTGAATTGTGCAGCTCCGATCATTTAGGACAATTTTATAAGAAATGTTTCGAGTTCATGAAATCTTTGACTTTTGCTTGCAGACTTTGACAAATCTGAGCAAAGTTTGAGAAATTGCTGAAATCTAAAACTCTACAGAATATGAAAATTCTATATTATTTGTCTGAGGAGAACATTTTGAAAAACAGAGAATATAGCAATTTGGTCTCATTGCTTTTTAGGGGGAAACAAGTTCAAAAAGAGGTCTCATTTGTGGACTAGACTGTATGTCAATAGTCTGACTATGGGAGACTAAGGCCCAATCCCAGTTCTACCCCTTAGCCCTTTCGTGTGTGTGTGTCAGTAAGCAACGCATTAATATAGAACGGTAATTAAAGTCTCTAATGCACACAGCACACCAGTATATGTGTGTGTATTGTAGGAGCTAGACGACGTATGATGACGTGTGACGTATAGTAGTGGTGTCCCAATTCTTAGGGGAATATTTTCACCCCTACCCCTTGACACTCTGTTTCAAGGGACAAGGGGAAGGGGTAGGCGGAGGGGTAGCGGAAGGGGAAGGGGAAGGGGAAGGGGTATAAAATCGAATTGGGATTGGGCCTAATAGTTGCTTGCCCTCTATTGTATTTCTTGGACAGAATTGTCACTATAATGATCTTTTAGTTGGTTTTCTGACCTTTTGTGTGGTACAAATAAATCAAACTCAAAAATGATTTGTGTGTTGTGATTGATCATGTTTTAAACTTCATCGTCTTCTGTGTGTCTCTTTCTCTCCAGTAGGAGAAAGGATAAGCTGCGGATCCCAAGCGGCTGGCTGTGTCATCTCGCTCCTGAGCTCATCCGTCAGCTCTCCCCCGAGACTGCAGAAAACCAGCTTCCTTTCTCCAAACAGTCTGATGTCTTTGCCTTTGGGTGGGTCCCTCTCTGTCCCCCTCTCAGCACCAGTGTTTTCACCCCTCACTGCTTCTCTGCCTTTGTCACTCAGGGGACCAACAGAATTTTATTTACAGAAATAAGCCTATGACTTTTTCTCTCCACAGTTCATGTGCCCTCATAGTGTCAGCATTTGGAGATTGTAATAATTTTTTGATACAAAACCTAAAATATAGTCACATTTCATTAGGTATAGTACTTAAAACATATTGCATGTTGCAACATATGGCATTGCATTAGATAGAAAATATCAAACTAAAAGGCATTTATTTGAAAGATTAAATTTTTTAATTTTTCAAGCAAAATATTTAACAAAAATAAGATTGTTTGGGTTTACATAATAAAATAGAATATATACACTACAAAATTTTAAAAGGTTTGGGATTAGTAAATTATTAATGCTTTTACTAAGAATTAAATTGACAGAATGTGACACTAAAGACATCAATAATGTTACAAAATATTTTTTGTTTCAAATAATTGCTGTTCTTTTGAACTTTTTCAACCTATTTAAAGAATCCAAATATATCATGGTTTGCGCAAAATAATTAAGCAGCACAATTGCTTCCAACATTGATAATAATAATAATGTGTTTCTTGAGCACAGGAATAAATTACGTTTTAAAATATATTCAAATAGAAAACATTTTTTATTGTAATAATATTTTACAATATTACTGTTTACTTGAAGAAAACTGACTTCATGCATCAACTAAAAATTACCAAACCACCAGTTTAATAAAAGCCACTGGGAAAAAATGTCTCAGTGAAAAAGTGACTTGTTTTCAGAGAAGCATTTGTTTGCAGATGTCACTTGGTTTGATATGTTATCTAATGCAATTACATTCATAGATTTGTAAGTGTCCAAATACATTTAGGATATCCAGTCAGATCAATTGAAATCTTTTTCCATTTAAACGGATTCCTTTAACTGGTACAGTGGCCATAAGAAGATACAGCTATAGTATCAAATGGAAAGAAAAAAAAAATGTTAATCATAAATTCACAATAATACAAACATCTAGAATATGGCCTGTTTAGGATGAGTATTATCACAACATCGATTCGCTCAGTGCTCAGCCACCACTAATCAGATTGTATTCACATGAGGCAGCATGCAGAACTGAACCTCCATCTGTACTTATTTCTACCTGACCCGGGCCTTTCTAGAGGCAGTGAGAGTGTAGGCCAAATGAATAAAAGAATGGATGGATGGATGGCTGATGAAATGAAGGAATGCTGCTCTGTTGGGTCCTAACACAATTGCGTCCTCAGCTGTTCTCTCCATATGGAGGCTCTGTCACACTGTCACTCTATGCGAGCCAAATACAGCACCCACGCAAGCTGTCCAGCTGGTCACACTAAAGGGACATTACCTAGAGGTGACCCCAAAGCAGTTCTTCCTATTGTCCCTTCTGCGTCCTCTTTTCACTTCCATTGTTCTCTGCGAGTGCCGTGTTTTAATGCGGCAGAGAGTTCGCAGCAGCTGTGGGATATTTTATGCACGTAATCCTCTCATGTTCTGTTTTATGGACTTTTTAAGATGCTATCTGTATATACGGAGTGAACTTTACAATACGTTATGCTAAAAATCAGGGGCGAATTCACTAAATGGCCTTTTTCACTAACCACCCACAAATCGTTGTCATTCTTTGCAGCACAAACGTGCATACTTTCTATTTAAATTTGGCTAATTATAGTATGCATTATTCAGCACTATCTGCCTGGCACTATCGACTTTGCTTTCGGTGGGTGGTAAATTTATTTTTATTTTAAAAGACAGGTTTATGTATGTTTTCTAGCAATCATGGCAGCAGTAATTCATCAAATGATGATCAAATGATGGAGAAACTGGGCATATGTCCAGATTCGGTGTATACAAGTGCATTTTCAGCATTTTCTTTACAAGCCGATTCAGGTGTCTGGATCACAGTAAAATGAAAAAGTCTCAGTAAAGTACGGCAGACCAGGAAGTCTAGTGCATCCTCTACAACAAGCACTAAATGCTGGAATACACTACATGACTTTTCAAATTGGAAAATATAAAACACTAGGCACTTGCCGACTTTGTAAATAGTTACAGAGGAAAACTGGGCATCATACACTAAACGACTGAGGATCACACACAGGGGTATCACTATACCGGAGGGAAAAGGAGGACAGAGTGCATAGGGCCCATAGATTAAGAAGGGCCCAGAACGATGTCCTCGTGTGGGGGCCCCATAGAAAAATCAGTGCAAGGGGCCCAGAATTCCTAGCGATGCTGCTGATCACACACTAGACTTTCAAGTCGTTCTGAACACAACAAACACATGCCTTGTTGTTAGGAGGTACATGACAAATGAGAACATTGTTTTAAAAAACATTGTGTTCTAAAATCAGCTCAAAATATTGAATCATAGTCTGAAGCTAAAAAAAATCTGTCTGTGACCATCATACACTATGCAATATTTTATGAAGTCTGTCAACTCAAATCTGTAGATTGGCTCTGATTTTCGGCAACTAGCATCAACTTGTCCAGACTGTAAATTGGGGCAAAAATCTGGGCAAAAATCATACATTCCAACCTTAAAGGGATAGTTCACCCAAAAATGGAAATTACCCCATGATTTACTCATCCTCAAGCCATCCTAGGTGTATATGACTTTCTTCTTTCGGACGAATACAATTGGAGTAATATCCTGGCTCTTCCAAGCTTTATAATGGCAGTGAATGGGTGTAGAGATTTTGAAGCAAAATAAAGTGCATAAATCCATCATAAAAAGAACTCCACATGGCTCCGGGGGGTTAATAAAGGCCTTCTGAAGCTAATCGATGCATTTGTGTTACGCTACGCCTACGTCCTACATCATCATCTTGCTTCAAAATCTCAACCAAAGACATTTTTTTAATATAACTCTGATTGTATTCGTCTGAAAGAAAGAAGTCATATACACCTAGGATGGCTTGAGGGTGAGTAAATCATGGGGTAATTTTTATTTTTGGGTGAACTATCCTTTTAAGAAACAGCCTGCAAGATTGGAAATGTGTTGTGCAAATTGCATTTTTTACATGCAAATGAATGACACTACACTCTTAAATATAAAGGTTTCAAATTTTGCCACAGAAGAACCATTTCCCCCAAAGAACCATTCAGTGATAGTTCTTTAATCTAAAGAAACCTTTTCCACTACAAAGAACCTTTTGTGGAATGGAAATGTTCTGTGGATGTTCTTCATGAAACCTTCAACACCAAAAAGAGCGTTTTTTAAGGCTACATCTACAATTATATGGATATATTTAAAAATGGATATATTTTAAAAATGACTAGTGTGTTTAAGCATTTTTTTGAAAGGTTGCTCGTCCAAACTGACCTTTAAATGCATAAAACGGCAGGCACAACAATGCCGGTACATCCATAGATATACATGGGTATATTTTCGAATACCTCTGTTTTCACAGTCCACACTACAATGCGAAAACTTCTTTTAAAATTGTTCCACTTGGGAGAACATCTTCAAAAAGCTTAGTTTTCACTAGACTTGTGCCGGTTTTCGGTAATGCGATATATCACGGTATTAACTACGGTTAACTAATGAGGTCTTATTGTAAAGTGATACCTATTGGTCTTTATAGTTCTTTTGCACTTTAATCTGTGTAAAACTTTTAACTTTATACATTTTTCTGTATTGCTTTATTGCATTTAAATGTTCAGTTATTTTTGTTATAAGAAAAAAGTTATTAAACCTGTTATACTGTATTATGACAGCACTTTTTTTAAACTAAATTTCAATACCGTGATAATACCGTATACCGTGATAAAAGCATTAGCAATTAATCGCAACCTGAAGATTTGATACCGGCATATCCCTAGTTTTCACTGGACAAAAACACGATCTCATTGTGCATGAAAGGCCAAAACACAGAGAAAAAGATGCATTTCCAAATTTATCTGAATTAATGTGGACATAGCCTAAGACTGTATTGGGTTCAAATGCAATTCTTAGTGAATTCTCCCCTTCAGTATATTGCAAAAGCCTCAAAATATCAACTACACCGATTTAGTTTTTCTCACCAATCTCAGCAAGCTGCACATTTTACTTTTGGTTTTAAATTGCAGAGCTGGGATGATTGGGCGTTTCAGTGGCGCTCTCCATTCAATGATTGTTAATTAGCTCTTAAGCGCGGTTTAGTAAACTTTAACATGAGTATGCTCTTTAGAGCAGAATACTGTGTTTTTCAGCAATCAACAGCACCTCAAAGTCATTTATTAATTATCTTGAATGACTTCTAACTGAATCAGAAAGCAAAGTGACGTAGTGCACCAGAAGTGTTTTAAAGCTTTTGAACTGCTGTATTGCGGCCCCTCAGGGAGGCCCGTGGCACTCTTCACATGTCCTTGTGCTCACACACACACACACACACGCAGCTTATGCTTGTGACATACTTGTGAGGAGTGCCATCTGACTTTTTGTTCTTCCTAAATTAAACAAACTATAATTAAGATCTATTTACATAATTTAAGATTTTAATAAATGCATTTTTTGAGCCATTTACAAACCATTTTTATTCAGTGATTTTACTATTTTAGGGACATTTTCAGAACTTTGGCCCTCAAAGGTATAGCAAAACAAGTACAGACTCGTAAACTTGTACACAAATACTTGTAAAAGAACTCCTATTGTTCTTAAATTATGCCAGTTATATTTAAGATTGATAGATTTATTAATTGTATTATATATACAAATTTATTTTTTATTTATATAAATATATAAATAATTATTTATTATATTTAAAATATTTTTATTAACAAATACTTGTAAAAGAACTCTTATTGTTCTTAAATTATGCCAGTTATATTTAAGATTGATAGATGTATTAATTGTATTATATATACAAATGTATTTTTTATTTATATAAATATATTTAAAATATTTTTATGAACCTTTTTTTATTTGTTTTTGACTTTTTTCTTCTTCTAAATACTCTGTCAGGGCATTCAGAAATATATTATTAAATTATTTACATTTTAAAAGTATATATACATTAATATTTTAAATAAGTTTTTTAATGTTATTTTTTAAACTTATTAAAGTATATTACATTTATTAGGATTTGTAGATTTATTCATTTGATTTAATTTAAATAATTTTAGTATAGACATTATTTGGCCACTTTACAAACTTTTTGTATTTAGTAGTTTTACTGTATTTTTAAATCTCTACTACGTATTTTCAGACATTTTGCCCTCACAAGTAAAATGAATCAACACTCATACTCACATTTATACATATAACATTTCCTTTTTTAAAAGTTCTTCACGTGTTTATATTTTATTTAAAAAACGTATTTAAAGACATTAGCCAATTTACAAACCTTTTTTATTTGCTTTTAAAAGGTTTTTTATTATATTAATGACAACATTTTTAGACATTTGTTCCTCACAAGTATAGAGAAACCAGTGCATGCATGCACACTAACACTCATGCGTGTCGTATCTTTCAGCACTATCTGGTACGAGCTCCATGCACGTGAGTGGCCCTTTAAGAATCAGCCAGCTGAAGTCATTATCTGGCAGGTGGGAAGTGAAATGAAGCCCAACCTTACTCAGATCGGCATGGGCAAGGAGATATCCGTGAGTATTCACATATTCCTCAAAGGCTCTGGGGTCCAGACTATATATATGACTTTTCACACAAAGCTGTTACATATGGTGTATGTGTCATATGAACTACTTTTATTGTGCTTTTTTCGTTTGAGCATGACAGTTCCAAAAGAGGCCATTCACTTTATTTTGTATGGAAAAGATGGATGCTTGACTGGCTTTTAGATCATGTCAAATTAGAACTTCGTACTTGATCAGATTCTTCTTTCCCATAGGACATCCTGCTGTTCTGTTGGGCGTATGAACAGGAAGAGCGGCCCAGCTTCTCCAAGCTCGTGGAACTACTGGAGAAACTCCCGAAACGCAACCGTCGCCTGTCTCACCCAGTACACTTCTGGAAATCAGCTGAGTATGTGAAATGAGCTAAGCTAAACTCAAAAACGCCTGTTTATAAAATAAACGAAAAAAAAAACGCAAACCAATGAGGTAACATTAAAATAGAGTCAGTCAGCGTGACTGAGAGAGTCGCTACTGGATGGTGCATGTATTCTGCTGTATTTAGTGATGTTTCCTAAACGCAGTGATCATTTAGCATACTTAGAGCACCCAGTATTTTCTGGTGTATCATTTGGTCATGAAAGGGAGATGTTTTCTTCTTTTTTTGTTGCTAAATGTATGTTTGATCTGTTTTGCATATATCAACTGCTTGTGATTTTTTTTCTCATTATCTTGAATGAGTCCACTTTCAGTGAATGTTGTTTACTTTCGTTGAACCTCTGCAATGCATTTTTATAAACAACTGAAACTAGTGTTGTTCAAGTTTTTGTCTGTATTGTTTTTTTTATTTTTTTGAATGTAGTCATTGGATGAATGTATTTATTTTTTCGATTTTGACAAATGTAGCCTTTGGAGTTGTTTTTACACTTGTTTGTTTTCTCTCATTCACGCTGTATCAGTGTTTCTCCGAATTCCATCCTGTCGTCTGAATTTTACGATCACAAAGCTTTACCGTAACGCAGGGAGTATTCCAAGAATGTGAAGACCTTTTCTCCCTTTCTGTCGCGTTGTAGCCGTCACTCATTTGCGTGGTCAGCATCGCCTATATAGAAAGACGCGTTGTTTGTGCGATGGCGCCGTAATTGAACGTGCCTGCCGCGACTCGAGGCACGTATGTAGGCCTATTATCGACACTTGAATTGTATCATGCCTAACTGTGACAAAAACAGAATTACCTGGGAGTAAACTGCTATTCCTGAGCCTACAAAGAAAAAGGGATAGACATAACAGACTGTATCTATCACACTTCCAAAACTTTTCTCATCAGTGCATACTTATGAATGTTTTAGCGTAATTTAAAGCTTTGCGTTGTTTGTACTATGCTACACATTGTTGTATTGTAGAGAATATAGAGTACCATGAGTAATAGTGCACTATTCACCAAGGTGGCATTTGTATATTATTCTAAATCACATCTCATTAATGTGACTGTTGCATGTTGCAAGTTCTGGAGTGTCCATGTTGTAACACGGAACGGTGATAATGTCAAAATGAGTGTGAAGGTTGGTGTCACTAGCTAGGTATGGCTTAAACCAAACCGCTATCCCGCTTTCTCCACCATGCACTCTGGGTACAGACAATCTGCTCACTTGTAAAGCCATGGTTTTTGGGTCATAAACAGTGCTAGTGCTCACAAACTTGTTGCTGCTGTTATTTTTGAAGTGCTCAAGTATATTTTAGGATCACAAAAATACAGATGTTGTTAAGTGGGCGTTTATATTTGTACGGTCGACCATTTTTACATGCATGAAAACATTTTTAGGGGATTTGTCCCCTCGAGTACAGAACCAGACATAGTAGTTTTACAAGCTGTGACTAAATACAATGACGACGTATGTGAGAAACTAATACAAAATGATATTTAAAGTCTGTATCAGGCCTAGTAAGGCACAATTTTAAACCTATAAGTAAATAACTGTGCTATAATGTTTCTATATTTTTTGAAACGGGGCTACAAGGACGTGTCGGGACAGTGTTTTAACACTGGGAATGATGGGAAATCGTGAGATGATGGGGTCTTGTTAACAACCATTATTAGCAGCTTCCATATCAGGCCTATTTAACAGGCTGTAGATTTTGCTTAATAATCTATTGCTGTAATTAATATTCCAATCACTCAATCCGATCTCATTGTCATCTATTATATTTCTGCTCCATTATGAATGTATGAATTGTTCTGTGTGTGTGTTGTTGTTAATGTTGTTTTCTTTTCTTTTTTTCTTACTATCCATCCATGCATTTACTCAGTGGTCATTATCAACACTTCTCCATCGCTCTGGTTTACGTTTCTTTTCTGATATTGTGTGCACGTCTTCGCAGATTTCTTTGATGGCCTCCATGACTGAGTTTTTGTATTATGTATTTGTTGTAAGTATATATAAAGCTTGTATTTACTGATGCCTTATGGTCCATGGCTTTGCGACTGGTACACATCACAAGCTCTTTCTTTGCACTCATCCTTTATGAAAATATATGAAAATAAAAAGGTGTTGATTTTGGACTTTTGTTTTTTGTTCGTCATTTCTTTTTGCTCCTTGTCATGATTCACGTTTTATGTTGATAAAAAAAAATCTATATTACATTATGGAAAAGCTTTAAAACTGAAAAGTAGTTACTGTAAGTAAAGAATGATTTGATTTTAATTATTATAACGAGTTGGATCAGGAACAGAATAAAGCTTTACTATCTTTAGCTTAAACTAAGATAACAAGTTTGTGCAACCACAAAAAAACTGACTAAACTGCATCATAAATATTTATAAATAATTAACTGCATCACTTGATAAATTTACAATGAACAAAATGTCCGTTTTAAACATTTTGCAAATTAGATTCATATCTAATTTATCCTAAGACTTCTTAGCCGTGGTTTATACTGATTGGAGATAAACATGATTTAACAGGTTAAAGGGATAGATCACTTAAAAAAAAAAAAGAAAATTCTGTCATTTACTCACCCTCATGTTGTTTCAAACCTGTATGAGTTTCTTTCATTTGTCAAGTACAAACAAAGATATTTAGAAGAATGTGGGTAACCTAAGAGTTGACGGTAGCCATTGACTTCCATAGAATGGAAAAAAAATACTACAGATGTCAATGGCTACCGTTAACTGTTTGTGTTCAGCAGAATAAAGTGAGGGTGAGTAAATGATGACATTTTAATTTTTCGGTGAACTATCCTAAAACCATTGATCTATCACTTTTTAATTCAACTGAATTTCCAAAACACCGGTAAGGCTCCACATACAGAGCTAACAGTTATGTGTACTTAAAGAGACAGTTCACGCGGTCTCATGAAAACTCGTTTTGCTCTCATATCATTCTAAACCAAGATTAGATTATATGTTCTTTGTAAACAAAAAGTGAATTTTGAATAATATACTGGTCTTTTTTTTTTTTCTTTATGCACCTCTTCTGTTCCATGGTTCTGTTCATACGTGTTTGGAATGATATGAGAAACAATTTTCATTTTGGGGTGAATTATCGCTTTAAAGATCTGGGCAGAAGACACCACCTGACTGCAAATGTCAAATATCACATCTTTGGCTAGTCTTCCTAATGAGAGAATGATCTGCTCCTGTTGCGCCCAATCCTTCCCTCAGCTGATGAGTTTAATTAGGTCAAATCACTGTTTAAAATGGGAAACTAGGTAAGCCTGAAACTCACTACAAATATATTTTTAAATATTGTGGATTAATATTAATATTTTAAATATTTAATTTAAAACACGATTAATATTAGTTAAATTATGTAAGTATTATGCTTCAAAATTATAATATATAATAAATTATTTTAAACATATAATGCCTCATCTAAGTACAATTAGTTAGACAATTAGTTAAGTGTCAATGCAAAACCGATTACCTAACAGTGATTATAACTTAAATTGGCTTAAAAAAAAAAAAAAGGCTTTTTAAAAAACCTTGGTTTCACTCATCACATAAGAAAAAGTGGCCTGAAGAAATATGCAGAGAACAAACTTACCTGAAACCTCCATCAAGAAGCACCTCTGAGATCCTCCAATTACAGGCAGATGAACTAATTGAATTCCCTGGATCAGAGTCAGATGGGGGTTAGTGTTTAAGACCCGTGGAGTACTATCATGAAAGACCATAAATTGCCAAGCCACACAAGATTATTAGTAGGGGATCCTTAAATGAACCAGGAGCAGTGAGCAAAGAAAGCGCATGGTAAAGGAAGTGAAATTGGATGTTGTAATTAGCTGTCTTGTCAGTGCACACACCAGATATGCATGTTGTACATATTTCATATTAGATTTAGAGTATATCTGTTCCAAAACCCAGTGAGCTGACTGCAGAGGGAGCATTATTAAGGCATCATAAACATGTGCAAAGGCTTTTTTGAAAGGTAGGCAACTTGACTATGCTGCTTCATGTCATGCAATCCCTGAATGCAGTGTGACAAGTAAAAAAAAATAATAAACAAAAATAAAAAATACAATAAAATAAAATAAAGAGAAATATCTATTATAAAAAATACTGAAATAAAATAGTTTAGCGTAATTAAAATGTGATTATTTTGCACAATATTTATGAGTGTTCTATGTGTTTTTTTGCTACACGGAATTAAACTGGGTTAGGATTAATATTTTATTTGTGTATTTTAACTAAAAATATAATTCATAGTAGTTAAATTATGTACTTATTATAAATACACATTCATTAGTGCCCCATATAATTACAGGTAAGTTAATTATTTAATTATTAAATAAATTGCATATTAAATAATTATGCTGCCAGGCATATTTTTATGCTCAGAGAATTGTGTTTTTATGCTGCACTCTTAAAAAGTCTTTATTGGCATCAATGGTTCCATGAAGAATCTTTAATATTGCACAAAAGGTTCTTTAGATTATCAAAATGTTTTTCAAACATGGGCTCCTTTATGACATTTAATGCAAAAAAAATACACTCTTATTTTTAAGAGTGTATTGAGTTTTGTATGAGAAACACTATTTATATTACGTTATTAGTATGACAAAGTTCCACTTCATTTATCATGCTAACTCAGAAGGTAGCTGCCTATGTATGCTCAGAGAATTGTGTTTTTATGCTGCACTCTTAAAAAGTCTTTATTGGCATCAATGGTTCCATGAAGAATCTTTAATATTGCACAAAAGGTTCTTTAGATTATCAAAATGTTTTTCAAACATGGGCTCCTTTATGACATTTAATGCAAAAAAAATACACTCTTATTTTTAAGAGTGTATTGAGTTTTGTATGAGAAACACTATTTATATTACGTTATTAGTATGACATAAAGTTCCACTTCATTTATCATGCTAACTCAGAAGGTAGCAGCCTATGTAGGCGGCAGACAGCAAGGCGGCTCACTAAGTTTTGAAACAGAGCTTATATTTAGAGGCACAGAATCAAAATCTAAAATAAATAATTTTGTGTTTTGTCCAGTGCATGATGTGTTAAACTTGACCTTCTGTCGAATAGTTTTGAACCTTCCATTGTCAACTTTTCTCTTTTTCCACTTATAATTTCTCACTCATAATGAGTCTGTCGTTCTGAATGAACTGGTATGCGCAAACCAGGCCTGGAGGTAAACGAAATATCCAGCTCAGTTTGCACTGAAAATGAGCATTTTCACTCCAATCTAAAGGGTGTCCAGTCACAGG